AATTTTCTTCCTCATGTTCCCTATCCTAGTACATAACACATCGTATTACTGTTTACTGAATAATTCACTCCCTTGCTCCCCATACTTTAAGCTCCATGAGAACTCTGAATGTTATTTTCTTAGTGATTAAAATAGTATCTGGCACAAAGCAAGAATTCAATGAGTTGCTAAATGGATAAATGCATAATAAATTGGTATTTCATTCAAATAAGTACCGAACGAAGAAAGAAATTTCTTAAATTTTCTGCTCATGTGGTTTTGATAGAATGAATATGAAAAACATAGGTATTAGAACAATTCTAATTAAAATAGAAATTATTCAGTGTGCATCAATGCTATCCTATACATACTATAACAGAGAAACAATTTAAAGAATAATGCCATTGGGCAGGGGGCAGAGGTCAAGGCCAGATTATCTCACAACAAAAATGCCTGAAGACACTCAGGAAAATTCCTGTGTATCATTCAGATAGTGTTACAACTAGAGATTTGCCCTTCTATTAATTAGGCAGTGATTGGTATATTCCTTCAAAAATCATAAAAAAACTGCAGTGTGTTTTGTTTTCATTAATCATAGTCTTTTTTTTAACAGAAAAATCTGCGGCAAGATTCAAATTTAAAATGATCCCAGGGGGCGCCTGGGTGGCGCAGTCGGTTAAGCGTCCGACTTCAGCCAGGTCACGATCTCGCGGTCCGCGAGTTCGAGCCCCGCGTCGGGCTCTGGGCTGATGGCTCAGAGCCTGGAGCCTGTTTCCGATTCTGTGTCTCCCTCTCTCTCTGCCCCTCACCCGTTCATGCTCTGTCTCTCTCTGTCCCAAAAATAAATAAAAAACGTTTGGGAAAAAAAAAATTAAAAAAAAAAAAAAATGATCCCAGAAGAAAACTGCCAATACCCTCTTACTTTTTTGTTTGCCTTTTTTTATTTATGGGGAAAATTTTGCTTTGGAAACCATTTTTATCTTTCAGTAAATAAACAAAAGATACCTGGCAAAGCATCAATCCTCTTTTTTTTTAAACGTTCATTTTTGAGAGGGAGAGCACCCACACATGGGCACAAGCAGGGGGAGGGACAGAAAGGGGTACAGAGAATCCAAAGAAGGCTCCATGCTGACAGCAGAGAGCCTGATGCGGGGCTCAAACTCACAAAACACAAGATCATGACCTGAGCCAAAATTGGGTGCTTAACCGACCGAACTACCTAGGTGCCCCAACATCAATCTTCTTTTGATACTAGCATAAAGAATCTTGGTTTTTAAAAAATGCCCACAAGTCATTGTTTCATGAATGTACCATACCTTAGCAACAGAAATTGTTTAATGCATTCCTGAATACTTTAAATGTCTCAAGAAAACAAAAGAACAAATAGTGTAAACCATGATTTTTTTTTATGGTTAAACTTCTCAAAATACCTTCACTGAAAATAAAATATTCAACCTGATGAGTATAAAGACAAATCATTCTGACAGGTTTTCCACTTACATTTCTACCTTTCCCCATTTTGTAGATATAACAATACAAATACTGTATATACCCATTCCAGGGATATTTCTACTAAGCAATTAAGTACTTACACCATAATTGTATGAGACAAATAATCCTTATGACGCACAAATTTCCCATGTAAATGTCATTTAAGTATCAAGCAATGGGTAGGTAAGTTATTTAGTATGATTAATAATATTTACATTGTATAGTTATAGTAAGCAGGAATGACGGCTTTCATAAATGGTTGATTCAAATAATAGTAAGATACGACAAAGCTTTCCAAATTTAATAAGTCAATTATTATATAAACTCTGAAAAATATAGATTTTCTTTGACTTCTAATGATGATTAGCAATTCAATTACATCATTAAAAATTTCATACTAGGGGGAGGGTCACCTGGGTGGCTCAGTCGGTTGAGTGTGGACTTTGGCTTAGGTTATGATCTCCTAGTATGTGAGTTCAAGCCCCACATCAGGTTCTGTGCTGACAGCTCAGAGCCTAGAGCCTGCTTTCAATCCTGTTTCCCTCTCCCTCTGTCCCTCCCTCACTTGCTCTCGTGCTCTCTCGCTCTCTCACTCTCTCAAAATTAAAATTAAAAAACATAAAAAGTTAAAAAAAAAATAATACCAGCAGGGCACCTGGGTGGCTCAGTCGGTTAAGCATCCAACTCTTGGTTTCAGCTCAGGTCATAATCTCACGGTTGGTGGGTTCAAGCCCTGCACTGGGCTCTACACTAACAGTGCACAGCCTGCTTAGGATTCTCTCTCCCTCTCTCTCTGCCATCCCTCTCTCTCTCTCAAAAATAAATAAATAAACATTAAAAAAAATTTCATGCCAGGAAGGACAATCATATTTAATATGCTATAGGTTTAGAGACAAATACACTTATTTTTTCTTTTGTTGTCACTGCATTTTTGCTTCTCTAAATCTTAAAAAAAAAGTTGAAGGAGCAAAAGAAAAGGACATTTTCAAACAGGGTATCTGTATACCAGTGTCTTTATGTGAGCATGTATTTCCTGCTACCATAAGTACCTCAAGAGCAGGGACATTTTTATGATGCCAACTATTTGGCTCCAGTTTGAATGGATTCAGTATAGATTCATCCATTTTAACAGGAAAGAAAAATGACATAAATTAAATTTTCTGTGGTTATTTCTCATTAATGGGTATTCAAAATGGTTAGAATACACATAAATATATAATTATACACAAACGCATTGGTTTTTGGCATCTCAGTTATGGCCCTCACATAATGTGAAATAAATGTTTTCATCACCTCCTGGGGAAGGGAGAACAGTAGCAATTCATTTCCTGATGGTTCTATTGTGAATACTTCAGAATAGGTCAGAGATTCAATATTTTCTTCTTTAAGATTCTTCTCTGTTCCCTCACACAATTGAGGGCAGGTGAAATATTTTCAAAATCTGGAGAATACCCAATGTGCACATGCCATTTGATCAAACATATGGAATACATACTTGGAGAAAAGCCAACTGGAGACCTGCTTGAGTAATCTAAACACCCAAGCTGAGAGGGGTTAATATATAAAGATCAGCTTTGTACTTTGAAGTTTTCTGGACTTCATTTTGCCTAATTAAGACAAGATTTAATAGTCAAACCACTGTACAAACATGTACCTGAGAGTATAGGTTTGTTTCTAATTTTGGGAAGAATTCTTAACAGATTCCAAGGAATCAGCTCCACATGGGAGAAGGTCTCTGATAAGATTTGCTCTTCTCATTGCTCAAATGCAAATGCCTGCTTTTCATCTTAGTTTCTTCCATGTGACTGAGGTTAGCATCCGCCTGTCAAAATCTCAAGTGTGATACTAAAATATAAAGATTCTGTTATTAGCATACCACTGAGTCTGAAACACCAGCATCTCTAGGTCATGAAAAATGTATTCCCAAATAATCTTAAAAGTATTAACAGGAATCTAACGGACCTAATTCCAGATCAAAATATTATGAGGCAAAATGTAGGATTCCCAGTCTTTCTTTCTGTATAAATTTTTCCTCACTGGTCACTGGACAATTTTTCAGGAATTCCCAGTAGTTATAAGTAGTGCTGAGAGACCACAAAACAAACAAACTGAACTCTACCTTAATATAGCAGACATATACTCTTAAATCAAAAGTACTCCGTCACTACACAAGAAGGAAGTTGATTGCCTCCAGTGAGACTGATTTGATACAAAATAATTTGATAAATTTACAGAAATGTGGTAGCAACGAAACAGGCATCAATCTGATGATATATAAAGAGTAATAAGCAATATAGTGAAATATAGTCTGCAGTAGAATGAAAGATGGCAGGAAAGGTAGTTACCACCGCCATCTATCCCCTGGTCCTATTTCCCCAATCCCACACACATACACATCATCTTTGAAAGCAGCAAAGGGCTGGGCTGGAGGAATTTCTGTTCAGTAGTATGGTATTCAGCCTGTGTTTCCTTCATGGCTCTGCCTTATTAAGCTGGAGGCCAAAGAGAAGAGAAAAACTCTCACCCTACCCTACCTGCAATAAACACATGGTAAGTGAGCACATGATAAAGACCCCCTTTCTCCTAAATGCTATTACAAAGATGATTTGATCTTTGCCTAGGAGGTTTTGCTTTGTTTACATCATGATACAATAAAACTTTTAAACAGTAAGCCACTTTTTAGCTACCTATCAGTAAACAGAATTTCATTCTTAATATAAAACCTCTCTCCATGATACTTGTAGGTGATACAGTAACAGTGGAGACTGGGTAGAATTATGACATCCAGGACCAAAACACTGTCCAGGAAGGAGAAGACTCTGCTTTGGAAACTCATAGCAGACGGTAGTGGCAAAGCTGGGAAGACCAGTTTTGCTTATGAATTCACTGAAAATGTTACTGGCCTGGCCTGTCTGATATTGTCATATTGTAATCACTGTTTCTTTGTGGTTGCCTCAGCAGGAGAGCTCCTAAGGATGTGGTGTGATACATACATCAGCTTTCCATTTGGGCCACAATAAGGCTGCCAGAAAATTACCACATATTTCTGAGAAATTGCTTCAAACATTGTTTGGAATGAAGTGGGGCATACTAAAAAATAAATGCAACATGGATACATACAAGTTGCTGAGAAATACTCTGTTGGCTAACCTTGTCATATCTGCCTGCACCTGTGCAAACTTTTTGAGCTGTCGATCCACCACATTCAACTCTGCCTCAAGCCTTTTCTACAATACCAGAAAATGGGGCTCTGCACACAGGTGCCTGTGTGCGCTTATGTATTAAGATAGGGCTTCAATCATGAAAGCCCTTACTAATCCATAATCTCAATTTTGCCACAAGCATCCTGTGACTGTAGTCATGGTGAAAATACTGATATTGTGATGCTGTCCCTGAGGGCTAGGATGGCGATTTCCTTTTGACTGTGATGGATAGATCCCAACATTCTCCTCTCATGTGCCCCGATCAGTGAAGAGAACCCCAAATTCCCCCATTGGTTATGACATTTTGACTTCGGCTTGGGGGCTTACTTTGTTCATGTGGATCTGCTGCTGGTATTGCTTCTGCTTCTCCAAGAATTGCTGGTGTTGCTGCTGAATGACCAGCTGAGCCAATGTGCTCTGAGGCAAAGGTGCGGACTGGGTTCGATTCAGGGGTCTGTGACGGGGTAATTTGTGGGTACCTCTAATGCCAGGTGAAATTCTCTCTTTTGTTGCCAATGGAGACTGAGGATGTAAGGGAACTCCGCCTGAAAAAAAAAATGTAACACACACACATACAATTTTGCTTTATAAAAGAACAAAAAGCCACAGAAAATAGATATATGAGACATTTGGTGAAACTAGTGATTCTGCTGGGCAAACAACAGCAGAAACCTAGGTGGTATGGGGTGAAGGCAGAAATGCCAGAACATTAGATAGGTATGCATCTCACCAGTGACTCACCAGTAATCGACTCTGGTACGTATGAAGGTTTAACAAGGTGAGGTGTTTTCCCCACCATGTATCTAGAGAAATAAATGAAAATAGTAGCCTTTCCCACAATACCAAGTGTCAGGGAGACCCTTGTATGACAATGTAAATCTTTAATAGGGTCTTGAATTTAAGGGGCATTACATTGGAACACAGATAAAAAAAAGCCCTAAGATGATGGTGTCATTAATTACCAGTCACAAGAAGCTTTTGCTGTCGCATTTGTTCTTTCAGTAACAAATGCTGCAGGAGAGCTTGGTGGCTGCTGTTGGGTTTTCCCTCTAAAGCGACATGGGGATGGCTTGAAGATGCTGGGATGCTGCCCCCATACTGCCCAGGCAGAGGAACGCCTTGTCTGAGCGTCTGAGTCTCACACTTCTGTTTTTCTTTGAGTGAATTCGAAGCCTGTGTCAAGAAATAATAAAGATGTTAATCCTTTTTCATCCATTAGGTCTGTACACCATTAGATGAGTTTCTTATTCTATAATCCTTCCTTCCCCTACCCAAAATAAACCCCATCTTACTGATGGCTGAGTAGGGAAAATGTATAATAGGATGTCTTTTTTTTCTCCTAGTGTTTTCTTTTTTTTAACTGAAGTATAGTTCACACACAACACTACACTAGTCTCAGGCGTACAACACAGTGATTCAACATCGCTGAAGTGCTCATTATGAACTGCTCACCATGATAGTGTAGTTACCTCTGTTGCCATATGAAGTTATTACAATCTTATTGACTATATTCCCTATGCTGTACTTTACATCCCCATGACTTCTTCATTTTACAACTGGAAGTGTGTACCTCTTACTCGCCTTCATCTATTTTGCCCAACAGCATGTCTTTCTAAACTAACCGCATCAACAAAGGAGAAATAAAAATAGGGTGCAAGCGTGGGAGACAATTTAGTATTGAGTATCCTTGTACTGAACTTAAAGATTATTTTAGCATTAAATAATAATACTAATTTCAGGCCTAATAACTGGGAAGTTTATGTTTAAAATATTTGAATATACTGTTTAAGTAAAAGGTATACTGGAAACATAAAAGTGATTCAAATTGCTGAACTAGTGACTGTATCTTAGCAATGAGGAAGCTGAAGATAAAGAGAACCTGGGTGGCTCAGTCTGTTAAGTGTCTGACTTTGGCTCCGGTCATGATCTCACAGTTTGTGAGTTTCAGCACCACATCAGCCTCTGTACTGACAGAGTGGAGCCTGCTTGGGATTCTCTGTCTCCCTCTCTCTGCCCTTCCCCCCACCTCCTCTCTCAAAATAAATAAATAAACATTAACAAAAAAGAAGCTGGGATAAGACTGTCTATAGTTTTGGAGTTTCATGCAGAAGGAACAATTCCTCTAATGACCTCTAATAAGTTCACAGAGCTGTAGGTTTCCAATATTTAATTTTTAAAATAAAAGTCTTCAGCCAACTCAATGAGCAGTTGTATAAAAATGCAGGAATTTGATTTAAACATGTATTTTATATTAATTTGTAACAGATCCCCAAATCTCTAAATATTGAAAATGACACTGCAGATACTTTTGTTTAATAAAATAAACTACAAGTGAAATTAGATCAAATAAAAATGCTATTAAGAACTTGAAATGTATGATAACACAGTAATAAGGTAATAATAATTATATCATCAATAGTAATAATGCATTATCCTATTCAAAGAATTTAATGAATGGAGGTCATTTTGGCATTACAAAAGCAGAAGTCTAATACCTCAAAATTATGTGGCATGTTTCTTTTCAAAACTCATGTTTCATCTTTCAAAATTGCTGTGCACCAGGGAAGCAAAGCAATTTTCAGTGATGGCGAAATTGAAGGACAAAGAGGTAAATGGTTTGTCTTAGTCACATGGCAAGTCAACACAATGTTTAATCTAGAAGTGATTCCTTCTCCTGGCCTCTTTTCCTTAAAATTTCCCACTATTCAGTGGGGAAATGGAATATTAAGAGATCCCTTTGCCAAAGCAATGCTAAACTTGAAAAATTAATTGTGATGGCCTCATCCACACCAAAATGGAAGCAAAGAAAAACGAAACTTCAATCCAAACCACATTGGTTTATTCATCCAACGGTACCAAATTGTATTACCATTGAAACATTAAATGGTCTGGCGTTAGTACTTGGTCCTTTGGGAAAAAATTCTCTCTGACCACATTAAAAGTGGTGTATGTTTGTGTTAGCTGGTAGGAATGACTTAGAACACGCAAAAAAGAGTGGAAAGAAATGCCTATTCATGTGTCATAAGCAGCTTTTATGTTAGTATTTGCTTATCATCTGAAGAATAGGAAAAACAGGAATGGAAGAAAAATAATTTTTAATAAGTGGAGATGTGAGAATACCATACATGAACATTTATATTTAGTTTCATCCTTAATTCCTTTTTTTCTTTTCACTAGAACCAATTGTTTACTAACGCTTCATGTGGAAATTCAAAGGCATAGCTGAAATCAGTATTTTTAAGCTTTCTTCTTCAATCCTCAGATAGAAAACAACAAGATTTTGCTTTTTCCTCACTGGTAGAAGATTACTATATCATGTAAGAGAAATGATAACATTTGGTAAAAATGCCAAATATAATCAGGTATCTCTTTGATTGATTTTATAACATGCATTGAACCCAATTATAAAATTTGTCATTTAAAAATGTTAGGTAGGTGTGCTCGTGCATAAAATAGCATACCGTATACAGGTCTTATATTCTGAAGATAAACTAATCACAAAATGGTCAACTCTTTAAAATTTCCTGGCGTGGGCTTATTGTAAAAGATGTGAATTTGACAAGCTGGAACTCCATGGAAGATGTGCTGCTAAAGTTTGAAAAAAACTGGTGCCAAGGGTTGGAAAAAATTTCTCTTTAAACCTAATGCATCCCATGACCTCTGCCTAAGTATTATTTACACAACAAATCACAGATGAATTTTTCCAGGTAAAGCTTACATATCTTTTATATTATTTTGGGGAATACGTATAAAATAATTATTGCTATGTTCTGCTAGTAGGACAGTACCTCCCAAAGATCCTATTTCAGATGTCAGGACTTTTAAAGTAACTGATTCACTCTGAATCTCCTGGGAAGAATTTAATATTGCTCACAGAGAGGTTTTCCAGATATGTCCCTTAGTATGACAGAGTCAGTAACTTAAATTCTGAAAATAAAGTCATTCACAAAATAAATTCTATAAACCTATGCTGCCTGCCTTAGAAGCTACAGCTCTCAACACAGGCCTGGGTTGAGTCCTACGTATGTTACTTAATGGCTCTGTGATCTTGGGATTTTAAATATTCCAAATCTCAGCTTCTTCTTCTGTAAAACTGTGGCCTGTAATCTCTGTTTCATGGAATGGCTGTGTGGAGCTACTAAAATAATATGTCTGGAGAGTACTTTCTTTTTTAAAAGCTATAAAGCATTATACAAATGTTAGTTATTATTTTTATAAATATTATTATGTGAACCAGTATAATTCTTTAATTTGAAATGAAACTGAATGTCTCTGCACAACTCAGAGTGAAGTGGATGAATTCTCTGAGAAATGAACTCTACCAAGTTTCCCTGAAGTGTAAATATACAAGAAATGAAAGAGAGCTCCCCTATGAAAATATCACTTGGGCTGCTGTGTAATGACTTACATTGAGCTGGGCTGGCACTGCTGGAAGTCCCAAGGTAATGTTGGGCAAAGAGGGAGAGGTATAAAGACTTAGCAGGTTCATGGAATCTTCGTGAATTAGAATGCGTTGCTGTGAAACCATATGCTGTTAACAACAACA